CCGCCGAGCGCGTCGCCGCTGGCGCTGGCAGCGTCATGGCCCTGGGCATCGCCATCGCCGCCTTTGTCATCTAGGACCCTCGCCTCCCCCTCCTCCCCCCCGCGCGATGGAACGACACCGACCCGGCTGAGGATCGAGCGGGGCGCAGTTTAGTGTTCCGTCTCCGGCTGCTGCGCCCCGCTCGGCCTTCCTCCCTTTTCCGCCTCGACTTCTTACTCCTTCCTCTTCTTCTTTACTCCTGTCGCCGGTTATAAAACGACGGCGTTGGGGGGGAAAAGCCCCTTATTTTACTTTAACAACTTTTGCCTTCTCCCAGCAGGGTATTGTATAATACCTAATCTTGTTTTTCTCCGCCGCGACCACTGGTCTCTCGTCCTGCGACGAAAGCGGGGGGTCCGGCTCGCTTGGTGCATTTTGTAATGTTTATTTTTCTTCTGGCGGCGACTGTTCCCCTGCGCTTCTTTGTCCACGTCGTTTGAGTGAAACACCCCAACGATCGGCGGGCAAGCAACGGGTTCTACACTGTTTTCCTCCTTTAAAAATTTTCTGTTTTTGTTGCGCGCATTTATTAATGCATCGAATCGCTGGCTGAATTGGCGCGAGATACCCCTTTTACACTCCTTTGGGCCCATGGCGTTGGATATCGGCCGTCACCACTCCCTCAATTCGGCCGGGTCGTCACTATACGCTGGGTTAATCCTTTGAGGGAAATCGAGAACTATCTATTGCATTTTTTTCTCCCCTCGGTTTTTTTTTTGCTTGGAGAACCAGGCGCTTAGGTCTACGGGCGAAGGTCGCTTCCTCCTTCGATATCAGACGTACACAGTGAACCCACTACGACGGGACGGTTATTCTACGGCGGGAATATACAGACGAGCCTCTTACAGGCACACAGGAAGCTTCAGAGAATCCACGACTGTAATGCTTAAAGAATATCTGCCGACAATCCACCTTAGTGTGAGGAGGAAGGAACGCAAGCCGACCTGCCGCTACCGCTACCGCATGCAAGCCCCAACCCCATCCGCCAGATTTCCCGACCGGCCGTTTTCGAGAAAGGCAGATGAGGGGAGCAGGCGCGGCATCTGACTGGCCCGAGCAAAGAGAGCAAATTGACCCCGTCCGTTCATGCCGCTGCAACGTTGGAGCGAGCGATGGATGGCTGTCACCCACACCACACACCACAAACCACCACCACTGCCTGCATCATGCCATGCAATGCAGCCTGCAGCGTTGTGCGTAGATAGAGGGCTTTTCTTTCTCCTTTTTTTTTCTCGTATTCACACAAGTCACCCGCTTCCTACATGTGAGCACAGAAGACCCATGGTCTCGTTGGTGCCTGACCCAATCTTTGCTTCCTGGCAATCGGCCACCCATTTTCTTGTTCCTCTTTTTTTATCAATCCATCCTCCCACCTTTTTATCTTAGAACGTATGGCAATCATGCCTGTGTCGATCGCCCGGCTTCCCCCGCGCACGTGGGATTCGGCATTGCATAAGGGATCGAACACTACTGCAGGCAATGAAAAAGCTTGTGCTCGACTTATGCAAGGGGGATTGATGGATAAAACAAGGGGGTGGAAGGAAGAACAAGATGAATGGAAAGGCTGGGACGACAGGAGCCCTTACCCCTCGCCTTGCGACAACGCACAAAAGTCGACGGATGTGTGCTGCCGTTTCCCGCCTGTGCGACTTGGCCACTGACCCGGGCCCCTCGCATGGCGGATTGCCTTGTTTTTCCTTGGCCCCCTCGCGGCGTCACACAGCAGTCGGACACGGAGAAATGATATCGCAACGGAAAGGAAAGAGGAGAAAGGCTCGACAAGGCCGGCAGTGCCCTACTCGAGCAGACACATGCGGGCCCACAGGCTTGGAGACTGAGTCACTTTTGCTGTGCTGCTCTGATGCAGACCTCGCGGGCTGCCGAGCTGACGTGAGCAATCAAGTACGCATCGGAAGGGACGCAAGGCTGGGCAGGCCGATGGCGTCATGATATATTGTCTTGATAATGCGTTGCATGCATCCGCCCGGTATTTATCTGATTAGGATGCCGATAACGCGCCTAGGTACGGCACCCCGACTCCCAGGGGGCTACGCTATCAAAACACCAAGAAACCAGGCATAGTCCCTCAATGACGCCTTCTTAGCGCAGTGTCCGCGGCCTCGGAACGCCACGCACCCCGCTCGCGGGTGAGCGCTGCGGTTCAGGTGTCGGCCCACTACCGCCCCCGCGCCTGCTCCCCTCAGGCGGGAGCAACGTCTCTGGAGCGAGGGCATCAGCCGCCAGGCGCCCAGCATCACCAAGCCGTGGGTGTCGCAGGCGGCCGACCGGCGCGTCCCGCATATCCTGCATGATGTTGGCCACCAGCGCACTGACTTCGGTGTTGGGAGAGCCAGGAGAGCCAGGAGTGGCCGTGTTCTCTCCCCTTGACGCGGAGCTGCTCGCGCCGGGGGAGGCTGCCGGGTTGCGCAATGTCGATTCCAGCCTTCTTCTGTGCCTGCCGGACACCTGGCGAACCATGCCAACCGACGCCAGCTCATTGTTGATGCCGCCCGGGCTGCGCATCGCCGAGTCTGCTGTGCGGGGCGAAGTGATGCGCGCCTGGCCAGCGATGTGGCTGCGTCTAGTGCCTCGATGTTCCTCCTCTTCGCTTTCCTGCGCCTCCACCAGGACTTCAGTGGGGTGAGACCGAATATTGCTCAAGTCAAGGTTGGCCCCAGCAGCAACGGTATTATACCACCTCTCCCAACTGCCAATGGCGTGTCTCTGGGAGCTCTTCGGCCGCTCGGGTTTCTAGCCCCGCTGCTGGTGCTGTGACTGTGGCGTTCGTGCAAGCGACGAGGGCCCGTCTGCCTGGGTATTGATGAGGTCCATCTGTGCCCGAGCCGTGCGAATCAGTGCCTTGGCCTCTTCAACCTCGACGCCATCTTGGCACAGCTCCGTCGCGAGGCGGTGCGCCTCTGCGTAGTCCTCCTGCTCGAGCGCATGCCGCGCCAGCCACATGCGAGCTTTGCTGGTCGCTGCAGTCACGCCCGTCCCGCCACCTCCGCCCGTGGCCGTGTGCCGCCTGCCTTCTGCCCGCGCGCCGTCGCCGTCGTCTGACCCTCCGGCCGCAGTGGCGTCGTTGTGAATGGCGATTGACTCGCCAAGGCCGTCGCCGTCACCGCCACCACCGTCCTCCTGCGCAACGCACAACTCCATGTACATGCGAGCTTCCTCATAGTCTCCCAGGCTGTCATACATGCTCGCAATCTGCAGCAGCACCTCGGGGTCCATATGGACAGCGCCGGCACGGTCAAGACCACCCGCCACACCGAAGCTGCTCCCGCCTCCCGCGGCACTGGCATTGAGTCCGGAGCCCGAGCCAGAATCATACGAGGAATCGGCGAGCAATGCACGCTTGAGTGCCTTGATTCCATCGCGCTCGCGGCCCATCTTTTGCAGACATGACCCAACCGCCATCCACATCTTCCCATCCCAGGGTCTAAGCCCGGCAGCCTTTTTGTAGTACCAGAGCGCATATGTGTGCATCTCGAGCACCTCGTATGTCTGGCCGAGGCCGTACCACGCTCGATAATCACGGCGATTGACGTCGACAGCGCGACGATACGACTCGATAGCGGCGTGTGTGTTTTTGAGCTCGACGTATTCGTGTCCCATCAGCGTCCAGGCCGACAAGCATGAACGATCCAGCGTAAGCGCGCGCCGGAAGTACTGCACCGCCTTCTCGTGCATCGAGAGGAGCGAGTAGTAGTTGCCGACCACAACGCACGACTCGGGGCGAAACTTGTCAACCGATGAGCAGAGATGGGCCAAGAATGCCAACTTGGGGCGGTAGTTCAGGACGTAGAGAATATTGGAGTAGTGGTCCAAGGAGTCGAGTCGGTGCGGATGAAGTGCGAGGAGCGTGCTAAAGTGTTGCTCGGCCAGGATCAGATCCTTGTTGTGGTACTCCAAAAGCGCCTTGCAGGTAAGCAGAAATGAAGAGGTTGGGAAAAGCTTTAGCAACTCGTCCAGGGAGTGGGCGAGGTTAGGGCCCTGCTGATAAAGCTCGAGGGAGGTGTGGAGGTGAAACATATAAGACACAATGTTCTGGGGTAGCTGCGGTGAGATCTGGTTGAGCTGTTGGAAGCGCGCTTGATTAGCAATAAAAAAAGAGACGCCTCTGGGCTGTACGAGATGGTGGGGGACTTGCATCTGCGACTCTTGTTATCAGCGATGTCATCTCCAGCCAGCAACCCCAATTCATAGGGAAGAGATGGACACTGCGGATGAACCACTGCATCGCCTCGGCCTCGCTTTTGGACTTGGCAAGGACCATGCCAAACCTGCAACAACACATGGCAGGTCAGCGATAGCCCCGTACATGACCATCTAGGAACTGAGGGGGAGACCAACAGATACTCCAGCCACCCCTGGCTGCCAACAACCTCACCGTCCTCGCCGGTCCTTTCAGCGAACCACTGTTCCAGGTAGCCGCTGACGGGAACCAGTTGCTTGTTTACGATGGAGCCTAGGTCATGAGGGCCCATAACCATCTCCGCGTCTTCGTCCTTGCGCTTTTCACCCGAGATCATCTTGGCGTACAAGGCCAGGAACAGGCTCTTTTGGCTGAGCCGGGGCAGTCTGCTGCGCGCCTCTCCCTGGGACTCGGACGCCGGGCTTGTTCCAGAATGGCCTATTGCCGCTCCGGGCCGGTCGCCGGCGGGGGCGGCGGCGGCTTTTCCAGCAGCAGTCGTGGGGGCCTCCTCAGGGCGCGGGGTGGTGGGGACGAGCCCGGCGAGCAGCGAGTCTGGCAGGAAGACGGCGGCGCAGCGGTCAAATTCCTTGCAGTCGAACAGTGACTTGGCGAGCAGGTAGCGGTTCAGCTCGGCGGCCTCGAGGGCGGCCTCGTCAGGATCCGGGTTGCGGGCGAAGGCGACCGAGATGAAGCGGTCTTGGGCGGCGTCTTTGGCATCGACGTCATCGGCAGGGGTCTCGCGGATGGCATTGAGGAGCTCTGCGGCCCTGGGATGGTGGTGCGCTTCTGTCAGTCTTGCGCAACGCCAGGAATTCAAGACATGCTTACCACTTTGCCGACTGATAGAGGCACCGCTCCGAGCACATGACCACGGCCTCCTGGAGCGCCTCGCGCAGCTGCAGCGTCTGCACCATGGCGGGCCGCTCTGGTCGCAACAGCGTTGCGCGATTGATGGAGCAGGTTATGGCAGCAGAATAGGCACAGAGCGGCTGGCCAGGTGCTGACAGGTAATTGATTCCCTGGTCGCTTGCATGTCGCGACGCGGCGCCTTCTCGTGTGTCAAAAACAAGTCCAATGTTTGTTTAGCGTCGCCATTACCAACAGTGGAATTCGCGATAAATCGAAAACAAGCTCCATCCAGGTCTGGCCTTCCTTTTTCGGCATATAGCTTACCTCACCGCCTTTGCCCCTGGTGCTGTCCCTGCCCCGCCATGGGTGGGGTTCACCCCCTCCGTCCGAAGATACCTGTAGCTCTGGACAGACACCGATCAGCCACGCGTTCGTTGACAACCGAGCAGTGGCGCTGAGTAACATTTTCCCGAGGTTTCTGGCTACGTAGAACCTAGTGCGAGCGCCGGGTCGATCGCCCGCTTGTTTCGGCGTTTCCGCTGGCCGCTTTCCAGACCCAAATTCTTCAAAGCGGCAATATTTGATGGACCTCGGAGCTCAGGTTCACAGTGTGGGTGGGCACGTGGGGTAGCAAATCCCCGCAACCATGGTGCCGGAGATTCTACCAAACGGGTCCCTCAACAAGCCAAACGCGGTGCGCGGACATTGAATCAATCACTCTGGGCGTTTCCTGTCCCAACACCCCCAAATACTCTCCGATAGCGTGACACCTCGGCCGAAAAAGTCCGCACCATAACGGTACCATAACGGCACCATATCCCGACATATTCTGCTCAGGCTGCTTTCTTTCCCTGGACAAAGTGCAGGCTGCAGGCTTTGATTCCCACCATCCTTCTTTCCCACTTCACGGGCACCACCAGCCACCGCTTGCAAACATGGCCCAGAAGACGACGCTGAAGGAGTTCGAGAGTGTGTGGCCGAAGCTCGAGGAGGTGCTCCTCGACCACGCCAAGTCCTACAAGCTGCCCGAGAAGGAACTGGCATGGTACAAGAAGGTATTGTCGCCCGGAAGCAGGCCGGCCCTCTTCTGACCTGACACCATGTTGCAGGCGCTGACCAGGACACTCGCTCCTCCCAACAGAGCCTCGAGGTCAACCCGCTCGGCGGCAAATGCAACCGCGGCATGTCAGTACCCGACACGGCCTCGGTGCTCCTCGGTCGCCCACTCTCCGAGGACGAATACTTCAAGGCGGCGACGCTGGGGTGGACCACGGAGCTGCTACAGGCCTTCTTCCTCGTGTCGGACGATATCATGGACAGCAGCATCACGCGCCGCGGGCAGCCGTGCTGGTACCGCCAGCCCGACGTCGGCATGATCGCCATCAACGACGCCTTCATGCTCGAGGCCGCCATCTTCACGCTCCTCAAGAAGTTCTTCCGCGACCACCCCAACTACGTCGACCTGCTCGAGCTCATGCACGAGGTCACCTTCCAGACCGAGATCGGCCAGCTCGTCGACCTACTCACCGCCCCCGAGGACAAGGTCAACCTCGACAACTTCAACATGACAAAGTATAGCTTCATCGTCGTCTACAAGACGGCCTACTACTCCTTCTACCTTCCCGTCGCCCTGGCCCTGTACCAGCTCGGCCTGGGCACGCCCGAGAACCTCAAGACGGCCGAGGACATCCTGATCCCCATGGGCGAGTACTTCCAGGTGCAGGACGACTACCTCGACAACTTTGGCCTGCCCGAGCACATTGGCAAGATTGGCACCGACATCTTGGACAACAAGTGCAGCTGGCTCGTCAACCAGGCCCTGCAGATCGCGACCCCAGACCAGCGCAAGATCCTCGAGGACAACTACGGCAAGAAGGACAAGGCCAACGAGGCCGTCATCAAGAAGCTGTACGACGACATGCAGCTCGAACAGAGGTACAAGGACTACGAGGAGAAGGTGGTGGGCGAGATCCGCGAGAAGATCTCCAAGATTGACCAGAGCACGGGCCTGAAGAAGGAGGTGTTTGAGGTCTTCCTGTCGAAGATCTACAAGCGCAGCAAGTAATGACGATATGACCCTGTGATCCTGGGATCCTAGCATGATATGATAAAGCTAGGAATATAGATGACACGCGTACAAAGAGATACAGTAGACATACCCCTAAATAAGACGGACGGTTTTGGATGCTATTTTCCAACCTGGCCCTATTACCACCCACGCCCATCACAAAAACGTAGAGGTCCGTAAACAACAAAAAGACTGCGAACTGGGTGCTGTATCGCCCTGCTTCGTTGACTGCTGTGGCTGCCGTCGTGGGGTTCCCCAGCACTACAAATATCTGGTCAGGGCGGTTAAGTTGAGGGCTGCGGGGACTGTCTGTCATGGCGCGATGGAGAGTTCTACAGCGTGATGGTCATTTGGAAGAACTCATTTATAATTGAGAAGTGCTGTCCACAGGACCAGGTGCGGCATTAAACACAAAGGAGAGTCCTGAGTTGACTGGGTACACAGATAACAGCTCGGATACGAGGCAAAAGACGACAGAACAAACGAAAACGAGCGAGGCAGAAAAGAAACGCCATGACATGGCTTCGTACCCGCACAAGCCAAAACGCCATCCAGAAGAGAGGGATCCAAAATGGTATGTACAAATAAAGGGAAAGGAAAAAAGAACAACGGGATGAAAAAAAAACCCCCCCGAAAAACAGCTGTGGTAACGAAGCAGGTACTAGATGTGGACTTTTTATGCCTCCCACTCGTGTTGTGCGTCCTGGTCTCGGTTTCTTCCAACATCTCTGATTTTTAAAACCGCCGCCGCCCCAGTCTAGTCTTCCCTTCCCCCGCTCTAGATGTGCCAGTCTATCTCTTTCGTATTAAGGGGAGGGGGCGGGGGTGCTTTCATTGTGTAGCGTCATTTCTGCTGCTAGTGGTGGTTTGCTAGAGAATCTCGTCGCTAGCTCCACCGCCGCCTCAGTGCTGGCGAGCCGGCATAGGCCGAGGCTGCCTCTGGTTGTGCGGCGGCGGCGGGCCTCCCTGGCCGTTGCCGGGCCGCAGAGCGGCGGGGTGGCGATCGCCACGCTGCTCCCTCTCGGCAGGGTGGCGGTCACCGCGCT